GAAAGGAAAGGAAATCTCCCAATGTCAGTATGTTCTAGAAACTTCTGCTCACATGCCCACGCCACCTCATTCTATCCAGTTAGCCCACAGGGCGTTACCACAGGGGGCGTTGCTGCACCCTTCCTCTGACCAATGAGGCAACTGATATTTTCAGATCACTAACAAATGATCTAACACAACCACACTAAGACCAGCATGTTCAGACACAGTTTCCCCATGGTGAACGTTTACGTTGCCTAGAGACGTTTTGGATTGTGACGTATGGGGAAGAGGTTGGTGGGTAGAGCCAAGGATACTACTAAAAACCCTCCAGGCCTTGCCCCATGGCAGAGAACTTCCCGCCTAAATGTCAGCAGTGCCCAGGCTGAGAAACGTTGCTTGAACCAGGTCTATCTGCACCTGCACTGTTTTTTGCTGGCAACTTTTTCAGAGAGAAATATTCTCTCTTGTAATTTTCTGCCATATTATTATTGGAACAACAAATTGGCCTGCCTTTTTATTTCCTAGTTCACGAGATATGGGTGGCAGCCTTGCTGGTTCCAGGGGCTACACACCACAGCAGAAATAGAGCTCGGCGCCCCTCTTTCAGCTGATGTCAGTGGTCTGTTTTGGGAGCCCTGTCATTATTCCAAAATGAAGTAGATCTTAATCTGAAACATTGCTGGGAGGAAGAATAACCACTCTGCAGCCATACCTGAGGCTCGGTCTTTGCCCCCCTGGGAGACAGCAAAATCTTTCTCTAGAGAAACTGCCCACCCTCAGACATAGGCAGTGGAAAATGGGTGGAAGCAAGAGAAGTCCAAGGTCTGTTGTCAGGGGAGGGAAGTGAGCGTGTCACAGGATGGAAGCTTGTCCTCCATAATCTGAACATTGATCCCTAAACCCCTGAGGTGCCTTTGATGGTGTTGTGAACGGAGAGTTTATGACTGGGGAAACTGAAGCACAGCCAGGTCCGGGGAAATGACCAGCAAACTTTCGCTGTAAAGATCTAGGTAGAATCTTAGCTCTTGCGGGTGGCGTGCCCTCTGCTGGAACTATTCAGTTACCACTGTCAGTGTCATCTGACAGCCGTAGGTGAGGTGTAAATGAGTAGGCTTGGCCATGTTCCTAGAAAACTTTATTTCTGGACACCGGAGTACGAGTTTCATGTAATGTTCATGGCATGAAATATTATCCTGTTCATTTTTTTCAAGCATTTAAAAATGTAAAAACATTGCTTGGTCCCTGGGCCATAGAAAAGCAAACAGCAGGCTTGATTGGCCCACTCAACCTCCATAGAAAACTAGAGAATACTGCTCACTCCATAAACCCCCTAAATTCCTACTTTTCCCTTCCTGAAACGCAGGAGATAGCCCTGGAAATCTGAACCTTGTCTGGTTTGCACAGCAGGCGTTCACTGGCCAGTGACTGAACTTCTAGAATGTTCTGTTTCCAAAGCCCTAGGTAAACACAAGGCTCTCTTTCTTCTTTTCCTTCTATGACTCCATGAAACAGGTGTGTTCACTGGGAAATAAACAATGAATTGGCTCTCTTTAGGAATACTAGTTTAAAAATAAAATAGAGAAGAAGAAAAAAAGCCCTGGAACCTCTAAGCTTTGTAAACCCAAAGCCCTCAGGTTCCATATGAGATTGGACATGAAAGATTCAGTCCCCACGATGGTCGCTCTCCCTCAGCACACTCTGGTGACCGAACCTTCAGAACTTCTTGGTGGTTATAAATTCTTCATTAACGCTAGCATAAGTTTTTGAAAGGGATTCTTCTTTTTTTAAGTTACAGTGATCACATTTTTCAGATTTTCAACTACTTACAAAAGTTTTTCCCTCCCCCTCTTAACAGAGAAGGTCAGTCACTTTTAAGATATAAGAGAATTTGAGAGGAGATTAATGACAAAGACAAATGATGATTTTTATTTTAGCGGAAGTTTCGGTGCATTTTCTGCCCAGTCTAGCTCCTGATAATAAAGTACACTTGACATATAACTGCATAAGTTCTTTGCTTTAAAGTTCACCGATGGATCAAAAGAGCGAATTCTCTCTTTAAAAAGAAATGTCCTGGAAGGAAAAATAAAAGGAAGGTTGAGGGTTGGGGGGGCACCCCCATACATCCCTTTTGTCTTTTTCTCTTCTCTTTGTGGCCCGCAGACAGAGCATTGAGTGACTTCTTCAGAAAAGAGATCAGTGAAATTGTCAGTTGATTACTTCCGCTTGATTAGCATTTATAAGAGCCCTGTGATACAGTATTTGCATTCCTATTTAGCCATGATTTTTGTGGGGCACCAATGATTAAACTTGTCACAGGGCTTGATTGACGGGGTCAGATCTTCACTTTCTACTCTTTTGAAATTAAAAACAAATGTGTCAGCTCGCTTCATGGGCCGGAGCGCCGTGAAGCTCGCCTGGCTTGTCACTGCAGATAGGTCAGGAATGTTTTAATTTTAGGGATGGATTCTGCTTGTCAAGTAGAGTGTGATGGCGTGTGGTTCTGGAGATGAGATGTGAAGGGTGTAACACAAAGAAGGGGAAGAACAAAGACAAAGACACTCACATTATTAGACAGATTTAATTAGTCTGAATGGATATTATGCTAGATGAAGCAGTGAGCTGTGAAATTAACCCTTGATTACAGATTGGCGGATCATACTCATAAAGAGAATCAAACCTTTGTGGCGAGACTCGAGGTGTGATTTCAGCTTCCCCTACCCTTCTGGGTTCCATGCCAGATCCCCGCCCCCACCGCCCACCCCTGTCTACTTAAACTCCAGCACCTGTAGGAAAAAGGGTCTGGGGGTTCATCTGTTCATCTTGAACTCATGCTGGCAAGCGTTCCTGGAGAAGGAATCCCACCTAGCTCGCCTCTCCTCTCTGCAAATGTTGGTAAGCAACAGGCCAGCAGTGGTTTTGGATGTAAAGCTAGGGGATTCTCAAAGCTACCAACTCCTGAGTCCAAAACAGAGAATGGAAAAGTCTGACTTTGAACAAAGGTCATGTAGTTGTGAAGGCCTGTGGTGAACAGTCCTACCAGCTGCGGTGGTCTTACCATCTTCCCCCGCTTGGCCTCCCTTCCCATGGTCTTCTCCAGTGAGCCAGCGTACTGCACCTGCCAGGAATTCCAAGCTTATTAAAAATGGAGGGGAAGCCTAGATCTCTAGGCCTGGCCCAACAGCGGTGTGTGATTAAGCAAAACTCACTCAAACAAGGACTTGCACAAGAGGGGACAGTCATACACCTAAGAAGGTATGAGAGGCCAAATCGCATGTCTTTCCAGGAACCCTTTCGTGTATCAAATCACCCAGAGATGGACTCTGCTGAGAAACACTTTGTATAATTGCACCAAGTAACATCTGCACGCCTCAGTCATCATTCCCCAGCACAATCCGAGAAATGAGAAGGCCTAGGGGGCGCTGTAGAGAGGACTACCTATCAGTCCAGCCCAGGCCCTGGGGGAAATCTGCAAAACGGACTGAGGAAATGGAGCCACGTAAACACAAGCCGTGTACATGCAGCCTTCTTGTTGGTTAACTGGAAGTACAGCTCTTCGTTCACAAGGAGGCTGAGCACGGAGTCTGAGCTGTGTGCTGAGAGTGCCTGACAAAGGCACCGCGTGTTGTCCTGTTGTCAGTGTAGATGTGGGACTAACTCCACGACACTGTTCTGGCTCGGCCTCCACCCCACCTCCCCCATTACCTCCCCATGTAAGTGGCTCTGGGTTAGGAGACTCTTGGTTGAGGAATCTTCTGACCCAGTGGTTTCTCAAGTAGTGGTCTTGAAACTCTGGATCAGTTGCAACCAGCTGCAGAAAATGTATTCTCCATCATTGCTGAAAGCTGACGGTGTCAGGGAACTTGCTGCAGTTTTCTGAATGGAAAAGACAGAAGAGAAATTGTACTCCTAACCCTGACTCCATCTATGAGAATGTCACACATGCGAACAACAGGCTCATAAACCAGGGTAGGGAAAAGGTTGACATGCTCTACCGGAAATGTTAAGGTTCCTTTGTTGGCAAGTGCTTCATTCAGGTAACTAGACTGTGGGGGTCACATTGCTCCTGGGAGATGGCTGTGTCTCAGAGTCCTTTGGTTTACAGTTTGTGGAAGCTAGACTGTTATACAGATAAACAGAGCTACAGTTATTGCTGTTTGGAAATGAGAATTGTTTTCTTTCCAAAGATAAAATTTCCTCTGTGGAAATTTCTTGTGCTATAATCTGCAACTTCCAGCTTGACTTTGCTGACATTTAGAGAAGAAAGAGACCTTAAGAAATTGTCTTCATACCAGGCATGATGGCACACACCTGTAATCCCAGCACTTGGGAGGCTGAGGCAGGAGGATCGCTGTGAGTTTGAGACCAGCCTGGGCTACAAAGTAAGTTCAAGGCCAACCTGAAACTGCATAGCAAAACCTTGTCTCAAAAAAAAAAAAAAAAAATGCGAGAAATGCACTTAGTCTGGCACATGACCATAATGACACCAACACACTGGCACAGATGATTATAAACTCTTTAAGTATAGCTATTCATTTAATAGCTACAACAAACATGTGAGGTAGGGATGATTTTTGCATTTACAGGAAGCTAAGGAAACAAGTAAAACGAATCTACAAGGGCTGGGGATTTAGCTCAGCGGCAAAGCACCTGCCTGGCAAGCGCAAGGTCGTGAGTTCGGTTCCCGGTACCGGAGAAAAACCAAAAACCAAAAAAAAAAAAAAAACGAATCTACAGTGGGGAGGGAAAGATAGGCCATAGATCTGAGTGGAGAGGGGTGATTTATCGTGTATTCTTTCATACTTATTTAAAAAAACACTTCTCTAGGTGTCCACTGTGGGCCAAGTAATACACTATGTCTGACCCAGAAGAAATACTGAATTCAAGTCAGTTTTTATCATTAGCTGCTACCCACACTGTTTTGTGCGCTGGGTCAATGAGTTAGGAGAAGCCTCTAGCTGCCATTTTTGTATGTTAGTCCCAGAAATGGGAGAGCTGGCCTCTTTCAGTTAGACTTTCTAAGTTTCCTTTAACTTACCCAGGAATAGCAAAACACTTCTAAGTGAAGGATGCATTAGACTGTAAATAAAAATAACTTTCAGTGATTTGAGTAAATCAGAATTTCCTTTTCTCACCACCATGATATCTCAGAGGCAGACAACAGTAGTGCTGGGTCACCCAGTTAATGTGTTGGAAGAAGCCGCTGTTTCCTCAGTGCTCTCTGGCTACAAGATGGCTGCCACAGTCTCCTCACTGTGTTCTCTGGCTACAAGATGGCTGCCACAGTCTCCTCACTGTGTTCTCTGGCTACAAGATGGCTGCCACAGTCTCCTCACTGTGCTCTCTGGCTACAAGATGGCTGCCACTGTCTCCTCACTGTGTTCTCTGGCTACAAGATGGCTGCCACCACCATCATATTCCAGGCAGGAAAAAGAGTGAAATAAAGGCACTAATGGCCTTTGTCCTGTCTTCCCTGGATGGCAAACCTTTCCCAGAAACACAGCAGTATTACACTTAAACCTCCCCAGCCAGACCTGTGTCACTTTTTTGTCATCCCTGACTAGCTATAAGATACTGTGAAGTACTTTGCGGGGCGCATTGTCACAGAAAACCAAATCAGGGTTTTATTATCAAGGTAGAAGAGGGAAATTGATATTACGTAGGCAACAAATGTAACCAGTCCCAAAACCAGCCTGTCAGTCCTCTCCTTTCCTCCCCAGGCTCCTCTCATACAGCAGCCTACAGTGAGTTGTTATATTATTTCCCATCCTCAATTAGCATTAACCAAGCACCAAATATTGATTAGATGAATGGTGTTGGCCAAAAGTGTGATAAATGTAGTGGGCTATATAAATATTCTTAATATGTATTAGTAGCTTTTCTGTCGCTAGGACAAAATACCCAAAACTTGCAATTTAAAAAAAGGAGAAATGTATTTTGCCTCACGGTTTCAGTAGATTCACTCCATGGCTGGCTGGCTCCCAGGGCAAAATGTTATGGCAGAACAACACGGTGGAGGCCAGCCAGGAAACAAACAGAGAAAGGAGGAGCCAGAGACAAAAAAAGCCCCTTCTAAGTCACACTCCTAGTGCTCCCCCTTCTGACCAGGCCCCACTTCCAAACATGAGATTTTGGGGGTCATTTTAGATCTAAACCATAACAAGTACTATTGTCACCATTATGATCTTAGCACAATAACCCATTGGACACTTGCCAGGAATGCTATGCATTTTACATGGAATCGTCAAATGACACATGGGTGTTGTCTCTTATATATTCGACTCAGTTTCTATGTGTACTGGTTATCAAGGTCAAAGATAGACTCCCCACTCCCACACACAGAACCCAAGAGAATTTAGGAATGCTGGTCAGCCATGAAACAAGCAGAATCCCTTCCACCTGGAGTGTGCATGTTTGAAGTTCAGGGCATGTTGAGGCTTCTCAGGATGAGCCGACGGTCCTGCAAGCATCTGCCCTTCGTGAGGACCTCAGTTGCCTGCGGGGTTCTGGTGGAGCTGAGTGCAGCTGGCTTTGGGGCAGCTGCTTGTGTGCTGGTGGCCACCTCTGCTTCTCCAGGCATTTGCTCAGACTGCTCTGTCCCAACCCAGTCCAGAATTCCTCCCAGCTTAATACAGAGTAGCACACGTGCTTTTCCTTTAGCCTCCTATTTCTGTATTTCTGGATGCCCATGAGAATTAAAGAAAGAAAACAACACAAACAAATAAACAAAAAGTCCAGCACACACGATCTTCCCAAATCACAAAAAGACAGGAAGTTTTTGGAATCAGGAACCCCGCTCTTTGTAAAAAGTTTTCCCTGTTGGTTTGGAGACCACTCTGGCTCTTAGAAAATGTATATAAAGAACAGTTTGAATTCAGTTCGGCTCAGTTCAACCAGCATGTTCCGAGTACTGACTGCATGCCAGGCCCGGTGCCAGAGTCTAGTGCGGGTGCTGCTGGGTACAAGGACAAGTCAGACCTGGAGGGAGCCCTATGGCAGAGAAAACAAAAAACACCTCAGAGACCAAGACAAAGACACCTCAGAGACCTGCTAGGCTGACCCTGTTCTTTTCTGATTCCTCGGCCAGTGTAACGAACACAGGATGTAGGAAGAGCCTTAAGTAATAGTTTGAAATTTATGTGTGTGAAAAACCAAACTAAGGGAGATAGATAGCATGATAGCAAAGAACAGTCATTTGTGAATCAGCATTACCTAAGTGCAAAGTGCAGCTTCCGGCCTGTTAACTGTGTAACTTTGGCTGAGTCACTTTACCTCTCTGAGCTGGTCCTCAAAGGGCCAAGAGAACACGAGGCTGGCCCTTAGCATAGTGCATAGACGTGGTGAAATCTCCATTAATTTTTGTTTGCGGCAAGAGCAATAAAGGCAATGTATGATGGCACGAGAAAGCGGAGCGCGGCATCTGAAATGTGCTGCACACTCCGCTATGGTTGCCGCTGCTATTAAAGTATTTAACAAAGTGTCTTCCGCAGCGCGACCATCTGGGGAGCAAGCTTTGGGCCTCAGGAGCCGCTGCTCAGGGTGTGTGACCCTGGAACTCCCCACGCAACTGACGTGCCGTCTTTCCTTGTACTTCCAAAAGCTACCCCAGTCACCTTGATCCTGCCTATAGTCTCCCAAAGGAAGAGTTCAGGAAACCGAAGCCAGGAGCTCAGAGGCCGCCCTGAGGACACAGTTAGCCAGCAGAGAATCTGTGATGCTGCCTGAGCCCCTGTCTGACTTACTTATGGACAAGATGCTACAGACCAAGCCCCGTGGCTTATTTCAGTCAGTTTCCCCCACTCTTCTTCGTGTATTCTTAACCCCAGCAACTCTGCGTGATTCCGGGACTTTCCTTGGAATCTGCCTTCTTGGCCCATTTTGTTCCTTTTCTCTTCTCCATAAATCCTTGCTATATTTCAAGGCCCTGTTGAAATATCACCGCCTATCAAAGGCCCCTGGTAGAGTTTTTCTTTTGCCAAGCTAGAAAAATCCTCCCCTGCTCTGGGCACCAATGGAATATCCAGCACATATCTTGTGCAGCTCAGGTCAATCTGCACCTGGGTTTATAGCCATGTATGCTGCTGCTGTGGATTACCCATGATGGAAAATCCACTCCAACCAACAGTCCCAACAAAGGGATCCTCCCGGCTCCTGTGAAGCCCAGGGGTGCAACAGATTCAGACAAAGCTGGATCCAGAGCTTACATGGTATCTTTGGAAATCTGACTTTCTCAACTTCTCAGACTCCCGCCTTATGCAGCTTCATCATTTTCTTGTGGCAGTTCAAGATCCCCAGGCTGGGTCACTCAGTGAAAAACATTTCAGAAAATATCTTTCTCTGGACTGACTTGATTCAGGCGCCCATCCCTGAACCAACCATGGTCGCCAGAAGAACAGGGCACAAAGGTTGCCATCGTGTGTGCAGTCAGCGCCCAGTCAGGTACCAAAGATTAAATACGGTATAGTTTCTCTAACATGGGGCCCCTGTAGTTTCCCTAACAAGATATAAATAATTTAAAGTCTGTGTTAAGAAGAGAGAAGTCGGGTGAGGATTTAGCTCAATGGCACAGCTCCTGCCTGGCACGCGTGAGATCATGAGTTCGATTGCCGGTACCGGAGAAAAACAAAACAAAGCAAACAAAGAAGAGAGAAGTAGACTCTGTAGAGATGGAAACATTTGGATATGGAGGAAGCAGGGCAGCCCGGGCAGGGAGGGAGTAAATGATCAAGAGGCCGTACAGACACGTATCAAACCCCCAAGCTGAATATAATCATCGTGCAGGCATAAGCTAATAAGAAAATTTAAAAACTAATCATTTTGTGCAGGAAACAAAGTTTCCGAGAGTGGATTTCCCACTTGTGACATCAGATTGGTGCTCAAGTGTTTCTGATTTGGGGGCTGCTCGGACTTTAGGTTAGACATGCTCAGACCACGCTGTGTGGCTATGCAGAGCCCACACGTCAGTTGGAGCAGTTCTCCAAGTGACTCCAAAGACCGTCTTGGAGAGCCGGATGTCACCTTGTCTTCCATCTGGACTCAAAAATAACGCCCAAGACACCCACTCTGAGTAACCCAAAGTGCCTCGTTCCTGTACCCGAGGGGGAAATTGGTTTTAACCTAGTGAAAGTATTGGCCATGGCTGAGTCCTTGACCCGTCTGTCTGAATCTTTCCTTTATTGCCATTTCCGGTCATGAATATTGGGCAGGATTTACGCTTCTTTGTTATTAAAAGCAGGATCAGTTAATAAATAATTATGATGCTCAGTTTCCAGGGAACAAGGAGATAAGGGCAGGAACACTCCAGCCTCACAAATTACATGCTGTAGTATAGATCTTCACCCAGGGTGGAGAACAGCCTCGCATTCTCTTCTTTTTTCCCCCTCGTGGCATAAATTGTTCTAATTATATGTGCAAGATCCTCTGTTCCCCAAGATATGAGTGAGCCTTGTGTCTGTTCTTTTAATTCCAAGAAGCGTTTGCAGTTACGTGTCCCCAGCCCCCTTGTTTTCAAACTGAATTGTTTCAGTGGTAGCTTGGTGTGTCAGCTTGTAAGTCTATAAAACAGTTTTATACCAGCTGGAGATTCAACATGCTACATGAATACATAACAGTGCCTAACCAAGAAGGTTTGTAATTCAGTAATTAGCTGTAATTAATGAACACAAAGTGAAGACTCATTTACAGTTTAAATTATCACATTAGCTCCTGTCACCCTCTATGTACACAAAACAGCAGGAATTCAATTATTTTTATTCTTCAAAGCTAATTTAAAATTTAAGGGATGCCATTACATGAAATAATAGGTAGGAAATGTAATCGAAATCGCTGGGAACAGTTGGCCGTCCTTAGAATAAAAAAAAAAAATGTGATCGCTGACGATTTGGAAATGTTTTTTCATCTGTGAACAGATGAAGGATTGAAATCTCTGCTCTTTTCAGTATATTTAATTTAAGAGGAGAAGGGAGCGGGGCGGTTGCGGAATCTTCGGGCGGGGAGATCATTGTGCATAATTGCAAAAGCAGCTGATAACTAATAATGCCACTGGTAGTAACAAGCCAACAGCCTGGGAGCCTCACATCCCATTATCCCTGATGGAGGCCGAGATTCCTGCCGCATCGGGGACTTCCTGGAATTGTCACCCATTTCTGGCGCAGAGCTTCAGCTTGGGAGACCTTACGTCACTGTCACACAGCTGTCATCCTTAATGCTTCTTCTGTGTATATGATGGATGTT